TCAAACAAATGGTGTACTTTGTTCGATGACTCTAGATAAAGAGTTGAGCCTCGATTAAGGGGAGACTATTCAAAGGTTCCATAGGTCTCAAGGGAGGCTTTATTATGGTGTACTTTGTTCGAGAGGAGGACTATTGAGGATTGTTGGGAGAGGAATTCCACATAGGCTAAATAAGAGGTTGATCATGGATTTATAAGTAAGGAATTCATTTTCATATATACGAGGTCTTTTAAGGACAATATCATACCATTATCAAGAGTCGTGATTCTTTAAATTGCAGCCATCCAAAATCATCTCAGCAAAGTTTAAAGCTTTTATTTTATGTACAATGACAGAAAAACGGTATCCACTCCGATAAAGCATTCAATTTTCTTCAAAATGAGCTATAATACTGCAAGTTTTTATATTCACTAAGCAGTACGAAAAGAAGACTTACAAAGACGTCTCAGATGGCTTCTGAACTTCCCGGAGCTGGACTGAATTGTTGAAGCAGTGATAAAAGCCGAAGTGTGGGAATCTCTCATACCAGGTTTCCTGCTGAACATGTGTGTCCCAATGCTCCCCACTGCTGCTCTTGCCATACTTGTGAACCCAGCCTGAACCACTGTGGCCCTCGCCCCACGTACGGTTCCACCGTTCTCCATGTTTACCTTCCCACCATGTTTCCCCCTGTTTGATGCCATGACCATTCGAGTCGAAGTTTTCGTCCCATTTGTCGCCCCACTTCGTCCAACCATCACCTTCACATCCTTCAGCCCATTTATCTGTGTACTTGATGCTGCCACCTTGTCCATCATACTTTTCACCCCATCTGCAAGAAGAAAGTTACATGCTAAAGCAAACTCAAATAGACAATTTCTTAAGAAGCATGTCACCAGATTAAACGTACGAAATCTCGAAAAAGGAATTCAGAGGATTGAGAATGCATCACAAAAGACCAAGTCAAGAGGACAACAAGAACAACAGGTGATTAGCATCTCCAACATTTGAAAAATTTTGATACCTTTCATGCCAGATATGAGCATGACCAGGATCGACATACGTGTTCGGGTCAATTTTACACCATTTATGAGCATTTTTTTCAACTTGACCAGAGGTATTATAATATTCCCACCATTTCTCTTGCCACTCGGTGCCACTTCCATTTTTCCCCCATTTGTCTGCAGTTTTTTCAAGGTGAACAAGGCCTTGCTCCTGGAAGAAAGAAAGTTCAGTTATGGTCATAATAAGGACTGCTTGCTGCCATGGTTGAAATTAGGAACCACATGAAGCAATTTCCAGGATCCACATTAGAGATCATTTCCCAACATCGAAACATCAGCGAATCCTTCTCAAGTATCAGAGAGAGAGACACCAAAGAATTTGTTATATATCAACAGACAGATTGTACATTACACACTCATAAAGGCATTTCCATCTTCTCGCAATATCCAATGAAATGATTTAACTTCGTTTTCAAATTTGGCAAACTAGCATATGGATTCGAACTAACCATTAAGCACTTTATGTGAGTGCATAAAACAAAGACTATTGAGACTTTAACTGATTGCATAAAGCAAATATTTTACAAGGATAATGCAACAGAAGCAAGCAAATCATTAACAATTTAAACTGACCTGCCGCATAGATTCTCTCCAATATTCACGCCAAACACTTCCATAGGCATCGCGGCCAGATTTCTCTGAACCAAGTTCCTTATAACCAAACTCATCAGCAGCTTCCCAATACTTGTTCTGCCACTCAGTGGCGAGGTCTGCGCTAACTCCCCTTGTTAGTGTCCACTTGCAAATCACTCCATCCGGTCTCTGCTCAACTCCCATCTCCTTCCACCATCGTGACCCATCTGAATCTATTCCTTTTGTTGATTCTTTATCTATGCTACTAAGCGCCTGAGATGCTTCTGCTGCAAGTACTGAAAACTCCATCCCAACATTTTCATCTTCTTCCAAGGAATGAGTTTCTGTACTGGTTTCCAATGATTCTAACTTTTCAATGTCCATCAATGATTGAAAAGGTGGTAGAAGAGGTTTGACGCTTTCAGGAAGTTCACTCTGAAAAGGAATTGAGAGAAATCCCACCGGAGGCTCTTTCTCCTTAACAAAATTGGATAGCATTGGATATGCCTGTGATTTTTCAATTGGTCGCAACTCACTGAAAGCATTACCATTCCCATCATTATCTGGAGGGGGTGTCCAAGACCAGAAATCTGGACCAGGGGTCGCAGTTGGTGAAGTTTCAGACTTGGGTAGCAGGGTGTTCTCGCTTTGAAATTCAGATGATGCTAGATGAATCAAAAACAGTATAGAAAAATAAAGAGTTAGTAAGAGAGCCTAAACAACCACATAAGAAGTTAACAAGTCTAAATACATAAACCATTAAATTGTCTCCTTCAAATTACTAAACCACAATAACACTAGTTCTCTATTCTTTTCTAGGCGTGCTAGTTGTCATGGTCATGTTCTCCAGGGCGTGTTTCTCACACCACACCGAACCCTTTATTGGATTTCATGTTGTATTGTCTTAATATTGTATTTTCTGTTTGTATGACTATTCGGTAAAATCATGTCTAGGCCTGTCAGACCTAAATTGCCCCAAAATATACTATAGGGGATGTGACTAGTCGTTAACTCCTCCCACCTAGATTTTGTATGACCGTTCGGCGAAAACACGTCTAGGCCTAGCAGACCTGAATCACCTCAAAATGTTCTATAGGAGAATGTGACTAATTGTCAATTCTTCCCACCTGAGTTATATGATATTAAAGTTATGGTGTTTCTTTCTTTGCATATAATCATATAACGACTTTCGAACCTTCTTTCAACTTTGCTTTCAAACTCTCTTTCAAAAATCACTCTGCCCTCGTTTCTAAAACCTTCTTCTCAAACGGGGCTAGAGACTTGAGCATATATTGCCTGGCCGTAGGCGACAAGAATCCAAATTGGCTTGACTCACTCAGTATTGGGAGTGAGTGCTGCACATCACAAAAGTTCGCTATCAAGAAAATTGTGATTGTAACACTAGAAACACTGTCATTATTTTCTGTATTAGGATGTTGATTGCAGATCTATATTAACCAATCAATTTTCTAAGCTTGAAACTCAGAGAAGATATGCCTGGTCAAACATGAAAGTTTATTCATTCGCTAACAAGCCAAACGGAAATGTACCAACTACTTGTAATATTCAAAGTTCAACTTGAAAGAAGGTCAAATACAGAAGAGAAAATAGCCTAGAATTTATATAAATGTGTAACTTGACTTCAACTCATATAATCAACAAATAGATCAGTTCTTCAAGATCCAATAATGTTAATAATACCTTCTTCACGATCGAGCAGTCCACCGTCATTCCTACTATTCAAATTCAAAGAAGTATTCGAATCAGCTACAATTCTAGTCTCACCAACAAGTGCACGAGCAGCTGCAATGGCGGCAGTGGCTCGATGTATGACCTGCATCCGCTGAATCTTATCCCTTTCCTTCGTCGGGACCTGAAGAATCTTACTAAACTCCTCGCTCTTCTCCGCCAACTGATCATCACTTCGATCACCGTCATTGCGATCGTCATTTCCCACAGTATTCTCCACAACTTTCCGAAACTCAATAGCTTTCCTCTGGCGCTCCACCGCGTTCTTCCACATCCCGAGATACGATTCTTCTCCATCCGAAACCCTAATTCTCAATCTCCTCGTGCCTCTCGCCCGCCGAATCTCAACCTCTCGTTCGTGAGGGAGAATGAGAAAGTTCTTGTCATTGAGTTGGGGAAAGTTGGAGATGGCGGTGGCGCGTGGACAAACTCCAAATCGGAACGCCATTAATCCGGAACTGAAGTGATGGAATTGTAATAGAATAAGCTCTCAGTCAATTTCAGTTAGTGATTTGATCTGTGAACGCCATTTTTCTTCCCCAGAGTACACTCCTAGCCCTCCGGAGATGGAAGAGAGGTTTCTTGAATTGGAAAAAAGGCTACGATACCGTTCCCCACCGTCACCTTTCTTTCAAATAAATGCTTCTTTAATCTTTATTGGTCACATTTCGGACCCTCAGCGTACTGTCACGCCGGAGGGTTCTTCTTTTATAAGTGTAAAAACATTTTCCTTTTTGGGAATAAGAGATTTTTTTTTAAAAAATTTAAATTAGGATCGTATTTGTTTTGGATTAATTGTGGTATTTTGTAATTAATTTAAATCTCAAACTAATTATTATGTCAATTTAATTTAGATATTCAGGAATTAAATAAATACTAACAAATTTTCATTAATTTAGCCATTTTTTTTAATTATGTTTAAAACTTTATAGAATTTTTTACAATAATAATTTTATTTAAGTGATTTTGAGTTAATTTAAATTAGAAATCCTATTAATGATTATCATTAAGATTTCTAATTTAAATTAGCTCAAAATTACTTAAATAAAATTATTCTAATGTAGGTATGTCATTAAATTAAGACAACAATTGTTTGTCGATATTTTTCCTTTGATCCATCATATATCATTGTTAGTCTCACGGTTTTTAAACAAGTCTGTTAGGGAGAAGTTTCTACATCCTTACAAGACACTCTCCAATCGAGGGATCTCAAACATTGTTCTTTTGAGTTAGAGGCTCATAATCTTTCTAAAACATGAGTAAATGAGGGTACATGAATGAATTAAGACAATGTCTAATAATTAGTACTTATACTAACAAATTTTGTTGATAAACATGTGAATAAAGCAAGTGAAATTTATTGAATTAAAGATGAACATGCCAAAGTTTCTGAATAATTCAAAGTGTTATGAAGATTTGATATTCCGAAGTACTTCCAAAACAAAGCACCTGCAAAAACCTGTTCAAAATCTTAGAACCCTAATTTTAGCCTCGAATTTCAGTCATTGCCGTCCCCATTCTACTGTGCTGCGTACTTGCTCTGCATAGTTTAATGAATGGACAAAATTGAAGAAAAAAGGGACAAAAACAGACAAAAAAAACTACACATAGTTGGAATTTTTTTTATATTTCTTTCTTCTCCACTCGCCTGAAAGGGTCAAAACAAGGCTGAATAAAGCGGCCCACCAAAAGAACTGACCCTTAGCGGCTGCTAACTTGTCTTCTCTCTCTGGTCAGATCCATCAAATTACAGCAAAAGGGGTTCGAGGAATAGCCATAATCGCTTGTGGGTCTTCATTCTTTTCGTCTCTAATGGCGTCTCTTTGATCGTTTTTTGACTTATTATTAGTAGAATCCAACTTTAGGGTTTGAATTTTTGGTTCTTGGAATTGGAGGAGCGATCGGGTATGTCCGAATCGACGAGCCCGATAGCCCAACGGGTTCAGTCTTCTTCGTCTTCTTCTTCTTCTTCGATTGATACCAGAGGAAAACATAGGATACAGGCTGAAGTGAAGCGGCTCGAGCAAGAAGCGAGGATTCTGGAGGTTAGTCCCTTTTTTCTCTTTCGTTTGAGGGTTCTGATTGTGTGTGACTTTGAATGATTAGTGTTAAATTATCACTTCCTAAATGTTTAAAACGCCATTTCTGAAATTGGGTACTCGAGAAATTTGGATTGGAGCTGGAACTGTTGTTGAATGAGCTCTGTTCTTCCATTTCAAATGTTTCTGAACTGTTTTTCTGCCTTTTTTGTGCTGGTGTTCTTGTTTACTTTGATTCTGTTCTGATAGTTCTGAAGGGAAACTGTGAATGTCACTGTTGTGGATGTTGATTCCCACTCCATAGTTGTAGATTGGATGAAAATGTTGATGCTCAGAAGCAACATTCAAAGACGAATAGATTATCTTTGTTATCATAGCTTGAGAATTATGGTGGTTAAAGGAGAAGTGTTGGCTCAAGAGAAATCTTCTGTTTCAATCGTAAAGAACAAACTGAAGGATGTTGTTCCTTGTTTTTCCTGTTCTTCTTGTGACCATAAGAAGCCAAATATGTACCTGTACTCCTCTCATGAATGTCTGACTTGTGGGGTCCCATGTAAGTTGGAGAGGGATATGAAGCATTCCTTATAAGGGTGTAAAAACCTCTTCCTGAGAGATGCGCTTTAAAACCTTGAGGGGAAGCCTAGAAGGGAAAACCCAAAAAGAATAATATCTACTAGTGGTGGGATTGGACTGTTACAAATGTTGTTAGAGCCAGACACCGAGCGGTGTGCCAGCGAGGACGCTGACACCCAAGGAGGTGGATTGTGAGATCTCACATTAATTAGAGAGGGGAACGAAGCATTCCTTATAAGAGTATAGAAAGCTCTCTCTAGTGGACATATTTTAAAACCTTGAGGGGAATCCCGGAAGGGAAAGCCCAAAGAGGATAATATCTGTTAGCGGTGGGCTTGGGCTATTACAAATGATATCAGAGCTAGACACTGGGCGGGATTGTGAGATCCTACATCTATTGGAGAGGGAAACAAAACATTCCTTATAAGGGTGTGGAAACATCTCCTTAGTGGACATATTTTAAAATCTTGAGGGGAAGCTCGAAAAGGAAAGTCCAAAGAGGACAATATCTGCTAGTGGTGGGGTCAGGCTGTTACAAATGGTATCAGAGCCAGACACCGGACAGTGTCCCAGCGAGGACGTTGGGCCCCCAAGGGGGTGGATTGTGAGATCCCACATCGGTTGGAGAGGAGAATGAAGCATTCCTTATAAGGGTGTGGAAACCTTGAGGGGAAGCTCGGAAGTGAAAGCCTAAAGATGACAATATATGCTAGTAGTGGGCTTGGACTTGGGACTGGTACATCTCTTCCCAAGAATCACCTTCAATCTTCAAAGCTTACACTACTAGAGTAAATCAAAGTTAGAACCGATCGAGAGGAATTTTATATCATTTTCGAAATGAATCCAAAACATGTCTTCAATTTAAAATCCCTCTCCAAACACGCCCTTAACTTTTTTAATCTACTCATATATATCTAAGCGATCTCTACTATGTCCTTGTTCAATGACTACTAATATGCAGCAATATGAATAGCATTCCATAGATATAAACTTAGAACTCCTATTAAATCACCACTAGATTCAAAAGTTCAAATTATAACGGGCTTTTTGATTATGATTATTAGCATGGATATGCTCCAAGGGGGATTAATTTTGTTACGATTATGAATTCGAATGCAGGAAGAACTGGAACAGCTTGATAAACTGGACAAGGCATCAACAAAATGCAAAGAGTAAGCATGATATAATTCATTAGGGATCTGTTGATTGAGTATCCATAGAAAATATGTCCAATTCATTTGTGAAATTGCTGTGTTTTGAACCTTTCAGAATGCTGATCAACGTGGAAACAAGACCAGACCCCCTTCTCCCACAGTAAGATCTCTGCTCTTTCTTTTTAAATTCAGTGCTTTGTCTTCAACAACAGACCTTTAAAATCTTCCTTGATCTCGTTTTTGGTCGGCTGCAGAACCCGTGGCCCTCTAAACCCGCTATGGGATCGATGGTTCGAAGGTCCGCCGGATTCTAAAGGTTGCAGATGCTGGGTATTGTGATGGTGTTTTTGATTTCTCTTTGAATTTTTATACAGATTGGGAGATTGTTATGTTGTGATGATCATGGCTGCTTTGAAGAGTTTCTTCATTCAACTTAGGTACATTGTGAATAGTTTTTCTAAAGCAAATGTTGTATTCATTTATGAAAACACCTCCCATAAAGCTCTTCCCTTTCACTTTGCACATTCTTTTCTGCAATATTCGGGATCATTTAAGCGAATTAAAGTGGAACTTTGATAACCCGATTCATTTTTTTTAATGTTCTTATTCGAAACGATATCGAGTTTTTGTGCAAAATATGACTGTTTTGAACATTTCCTGTTGATATTTATAATAGCTTTGTCTCGAGTGCTAGCTTTAGCTCTATGCCCCTAATCATGGCTTTCGTTTTAGCCATGGTACCAAGCTAGTTCCTACTTATAGCTCATCTCGATATCACTCCTTCTCTAGCCCTCTATTCATAACTCCCGCACACGACTTATTTAAAGGTCTCTAACTTCAATACGTCTTTAATTTTTTGTTCTAGTAATGTGATTACGCTTTTGATATTCAATTATACCTTGTCAATAAGGAAACACTGTTCGTCTACCCTTCTATTTTGTAGTCCACCAAATGTCGAAGAACATGATCAAAATTACGATTCTTAATTGTTTGAAGAGATTGACATATTTTTTAAAACATTGATTTGATGATGGTGCGAAGAGAAAATGTTTGAGTTGAATGTACATTAAAAAAAAATAAAAAAAATGAAAATGAGAATAAACGAGAGAGAAAGAGAGAGAGAGTGTGAGAGTGAGAGCAAGAGGAAATGAACGCAACAAAGTACGCTAGCAGCAATTAAACTAAAGCACAAACTCGAAAGTGTTTCGTTCGAAAGGATCAAGCTCCCTGATTGTTGATAGCATTGCTACAAGCTGGCACTCAATTAATCATGCTGGCACGTCACTCGGGTCCTCGGTGATCTTCGATTGTAAAAACTTGATCCTTAGGAGCATGTCTCAGCAACGCAAAACGAGAGTTTCGCTCGTTATTGGACTTGATCAAACATCTCACGGGCAAAACATAACTCCTCGACCCGACCCAAATATGAGAAGTTCCAATTTCGTTCTCGTATTGTCTGACATATTTGTCTCACACATTGAAGCAGGAAATTAGAGAAACCAATCGGCACCGTCCACGTCGTTCTTTAAAACCCAATAAACCTCATCTGATCCATTCAGTCCCAAAGCTTGAAGCCGTTTTGGGCCCTGGATCTTCCGGCAGCCATTTCTGAAGCTCTGAACTTCCCACTTTTCCCCTCACAATGACACAATCTCTGCAAATTTTCACCTCCGCCACCCGCTCTCCCGGCATTTCTCTCTCCAAACACTCCCTCTCAAAACCCTCTCCGTCCACCGCCGCTTTCCGCTTCCCTCTCTCCTTCACAAAATCGTCAATCAGAGCCTCTTCCTCTCCGGATTCCAATCCTCTGTCATCTGCTTTCACTTCCCAAGTCTTGGTTTCTGAAAATGGCTCCACCGGCGGAGGTGGAGCTCTGTCCTCTTCTGTTACTAGGGAGTTTGTGCCTGTTATGTCTGATTCCACCGCGATTGAGGTCGATACTGTGACGGAGGCTGAATTGAAGGAGAATGGCTTCAGGAGCACCAGGAGGACGAAGCTCGTGTGCACCATTGGCCCTGTTACCTGCGGATTCGAGCAGCTCGAGGCGCTCGCTGTTGGCGGGATGAATGTCGCAAGGATCAATATGTGCCATGGAACTCGAGACTGGCATCGGATGGTAATTGAACGCGTACGGAGGCTCAATGAGGAGAAGGGCTATGCGGTCGCTATCATGATGGATACTGAAGGGAGTGAAATTCACATGGGTGATCTTGGTGGAGCTTCTTCGGCTAAAGCGGAAGTAAGTTCTTCGGTTCTTTATCGTTTTTCATCTTATTGTGTGATAATCAGTCGAATTCATTCTAATTTTTGCCCAAGATTTAAAAATTTCCGACTGCATTCGAATACTGGGATTTGCCTAGCTTACCCAACAGGCGATCATGATTATGTTGTTGATTCAGTCACTGAGAAACGTTTAGATTTCAAGTTTCTTCTGCCTGGAACTCTAAAATCCACTAAAGCTATTACACATTTTATGTTTTGAAACTAAGATGGGTCCTTTCATCATATAGTGTGTTGCGAACTTGTGTCGAGGCTTCTAAATATACTTTTATCATAAGCTACTTGTCACGAAATCTTGTCTGAAACTAAAAACTTTATCTTCCATTAATGAAAATGAGTTTCTAAAACGCGTCTATGGAGAGAGTATAGCCTTACTCCAACCAGTGTCTCGCACCGTCTATGGAGAAGAGAACGAGTGTCAGTGAGGACATTGGGCCCCAAAAAGGGATGAATTGTGAGATCCCACATTTATTGGAGAGAGGAACAAGTGCCCGGAGAATGCTAGGCCTTGAAGGGGGTGGATTGAAGGAGATGGATTGTGAGATCCCACATCGGTTGGAGAGGGAACAAATCATTTTTTACAAGGGTGTGGAACCTCTCTCTAACATATGTGTTTTAAAACTTTGAGGAAAAGTCCAAAGAAAATAATAACGGGTAAGAATCACTTCAAGAAGTTGGTGGGTCATGTTTAACTGCTTGCTCTTTTCTATGTAGGACGGTGAAATCTGGACATTCAGTGTCCGAGCTTTTGATTCAACACTCCCAGAACGCACTATTAATGTTAACTATGAAGGGTTTGCAGAAGGTTACTGGTTCTATCCTAAATCTAAAGTTCTCTCTGGCTTTTACTGAATGCATGCACTATCTAATATAGCCCCAGAATTGGATGTATGTGCGTTCATTATTGTAGTAAGTTCCATGATATTGGTATCAATCTTGAATTATAATTGATATTGTGTAGATGTGAGAGTGGGTGATGACCTCCTTGTTGATGGTGGAATGGTGAGGTTTGAGGTGATCGAAAAGATCGGTCCTGATGTTAAGTGCCTGTGTACCGACCCGGGATTGTTGTTGCCACGGGCTAATTTAACGTTTTGGAGGGATGGACATCTAGTTCGAGAACGTAATGCCATGCTCCCTACAATTTCTTCTAAGGTAGGCGCCTCCCTCTTCCTTAAACTGTCATTTCCTTAGTTAATTGCATCTGCTTCTGGATCGTGGTCTCCATATGTTTGAGGTTAACCTTTTGTGCAGCCTAGTAGTGCAAATTGCCCTGATATAGTGCGGTATTCCCAGTCTAATGCAAGTTTTATGAATCCAGGATTGGTTGGATATTGATTTTGGAATTGCTGAAGGTGTTGATTTTCTTGCCATATCGTTTGTCAAGTCTGCTGAAGTGATTAAACATCTCAAAAGCTATATTGCTGCACGTTCTCGTGGCAGGTAAGCATAATTATGGTGGTGTGCTGATTGTTCTTTTAGTCTGGGTCTGAAGCCAGGACCTCTCAGTCTAATAGTCCAAGCGCACCGCTAACAGATATTGTCCTTTTTGAGCTTTCCCCTCAAGATTTGATAAAAAAAAAATAAAAAACTTCATTCTCCTCCCTAACCAATGTATGGGATCTCACAATTCACCCCCTTCGAGACCTAGCGTCCTCGCTGACACTTGTTTCCTTCTCTAATCAATGTGGGACTCCCCAATCCACCCCCTTCAGGACCCAGCGTCTTTGCTGGCACACCGCCTCGTGTCCATCTCCCCTTCGAGGCTCAACCTTCTCGCTGACACATCGCCCGGTGTCTTGTTCTGGTACCATTTGTAATGGCCCAAGCCCACCACTAGCAGATGTTGTCCTCTTTGGGTTTTCCCTTTCGAGCTTCCGCTTAAGGTTTTTAAAACGCATTTGCTAGAGAGAGGTTTCCACATCCTTACAAATAATGCTTCGTTCAATTCCCCAACCGATGTGGGATCTCACAATCCACTCCCTTCGAGCCCAGTGTTCTTGCTGGCACTCGTTCCCTTCTCTAATCGATTTGGGACTTCCCAATCCACCCCCTTTTAGGACCTAGTGTCATTGCTGGCACACTACCTCATGTCCACCCCCTTCAGGACTCAGCCTCCTCGCTAGCACATCGCTCGGTGTCTGGCTTTGATACCATTTGTAACGGCTCAAGTCCACTGGTAACAAATATTGTCTTCTTTGGGCTTTCCTTTTCGGAGTTCCCTCAAAGTTTTTAAAACGTGTCTGCTAGGGAGAGGTTTTCTCACCCTGGTAAAGATTGTTTCGTTCTCCTCCCTAATCGATGTGAGATCTCACACTCATGGTTGGTTTTCACAGATTTAGTGGACCATATATATCTTTAACTATGTGTTAGTATATGGGCGCCTTCTAAATAATTTTTTTGTTTTTAAATTCGATATGCAGTGACATTTCCATCCTCGCGAAGATAGAGAGTCTGGACTCATTGAATAACTTGGAAGAAATTATTTTAGCATCAGATGGAGCCATGGTAGCTAGAGGAGATTTAGGAGCACAAATACCACTGGAACAGGTGCCATTAGTCCAGCAAAAGGTGGTCCAACTATGCAGGCAGTTAAATAAACCAGTTATTGTTGCTTCACAGCTTCTCGAGTCGATGATCGAATATCCTACACCCACCAGAGCGGAAGTTGCTGATATTTCCGAGGCGGTTAGGCAGCGATCAGATGCTCTAATGCTTTCTGGTGAGTCCGCCATGGGCCAGTACCCTGACAAGGCATTAGCTGTTTTGAGAAATGTCAGCTTAAGAATTGAGAAATGGTGGAGGGAAGAGAAACGCCATGAACCTATGGAACTCCCTGAAGTTGGATCTTCATCCTCAGATAGCATCTTAGAAGAGATCTGCAATTCCGCTGCTAAAATGGGTAAGCTTTATCATATTCTCCAACTATACTGTAGTTTAGATCTATGCTTTGGTACGGTAACCGCTCAAGCCCAAGCCCAAGTCCACCACTAGCAGATATTGTTCTTTTTGATTTGGATTTGGGTTCAAAAGGGAAAGCCCAAGTTCACCTCAAGCCCAAGTCCGAAAGGGAAAGCCCAAAAATGACCATATCTATTAGCGCTGGAGTTGGACTTGGATTCTTACGGGGAGAAGGAAAGAACACAAATACTACCTCATGTCATTACTCAATTCCAACATACAACATGTTACTTGAAGAGCCCTTCTTCATATGCTACTATCATCTATCCCTCACTTCCTTATAATGCTGCTCCTGTTGCTTATTCCTGTGTAGCCAATAATTTGGAGGTGGATGCAAT